CCTTTCTACTGTCTGCATATTTTTAGAAAAGAAAAACACAAGCTCCTCTGAAAGCTCCCTATGTGCTCTTGTCACTTTTGGTATCCTTTTCCTTTAAAAATAAAAATAAAAAATCTCTGGCACAACGTAAAACGACAACCTCTCAAGCCCCAGAGCCATGGAATCCTGCCTCTGGTTTCTGTCTTTTTTGTTTTTGAAGTTTTGAAGACAGAGTCTCGCTTTGTCACCAGCCTGGAGTGCAGTGGCACAATCTTGGCACACTGCAACCTCCACCTCCCGGATTTAAGTGATTCTCCTGCCTCAGCCTCGCGAATAGCTGGGACTACAGATGTGCGCCACTATGCCCAGCTAATTCTTGTATTTTTAAAAATTTTAGTAGAGACAGGGTTTCACCAGTTGGCCAGGATGGTCTTGATCTCTTGACCTCATAATCCACCTGCCTCGGCCTCCCAAAGTGCTGGGATTATAGGCGTGAGCCACCATGCCCAACCTTTCTGTAGGCAGGTGCCAGGATCAGCAGGCAGCAGAGAAATACTCTGGTCAGAACTGCCCTTTAAGGAGAGAAGACAAATGGGTGGGTGGGGGCCGGCATGGGAGAAAGAAAATGCCAGCCTTCCTTCTGGTGCTTCTGGAGGAATCTAGGTCTCTTAGCTGCTAGCTCTCCCTTCCCCACCATTACACCAGATGCGTCTCTTTCAGAAGCCAGACCAGGAAGAGCCAAGGAATCTCTCTGTGACCTGCAAACAGGACTCTAGGTGCTAAACAAGAAGTTTCTTCAGCAGAAGGAAAGGTCCAAGGAATGATAAGCATGAATAATAGCAACTCCTAAAATGTAGACAGTGTAGACATTACTAGACAGCCAAGGAGGTGTACTTATCCTCTCTCATGAGCCTGGAACATACCACATGACATTAAGTGAAAGGAAATACAGGGTTGCTTTGTTGCACATGCCTAGAGAGTGGGGAATTATGCAGATAAAACAAAAGGTGCAAGGAGGCTGTGTTCCTCCATGCTGTACTGCACTTGTCAAAGGTGCTGCTAAAAATAATGGACAAGATTAAATTGCCTACTAATGTCTGAAAAATGTTAACCCTTACCAGTAAAGAAAAAGGTAAATAAGACCAGGCAAAGTGGCTCACACCTACAATCCTAGCACTTTAGGAGGCTGAGGTAGGTGAATCACTTGAGGTAAGTAGTTCAAAACCAGCCTGGCCAACATGGTGAAATGTTGTCTCTACTAAAAATACAAAAATTAGCCAGGTGTGGTGGTGAGTGCCTTTAGTCCCAGCTACTCAGGAGGCTGAGGCAAGGGAATCACTCAAACCCGGGAGACGGAGGTTGCAGTAAGCTGAGATCATGCCACTGCACTCCAGCCTGGGCGAAAGAGCAAAATTCTATCCACCCCGACAAAAAGAAAGCAAATCAAAATGTTTTCCCTTCTCTTGTGTTTACAAAGATTAATGAGAGTACTAATGCCTAATGCTTGTGAAGTCTGACGGATGGGAAACTGTCGCATGCTGGACAGCATGCAAACTGGGATGTTCATACTAGAAGGCATCTGGCGAGACTTCCTAAAACTTTATTTTTAAAAATTTTCTATTGTCGATTAATTGATTGATTGAGATGGAGTTTTGCTCCCCCAGCTAGAATGCAATAATGCAATCTTGGCTTACTGCAACCTCTGCTTCTAGGTTCAAGTGATTCTCCTGCCTCAGCCTCCCAAATAGCTGGGATTACAGATATGCGCCACCATGCCTGGCTAATTTTGTATTTTTTAGTAGAGATGCGGTTTCTTCATGTTGGTCAGGCTGGTCTCGAACTCCTCACCTCAGGTGATCCACCCACCTTAGCCTCCCAAAGTGCTGGGATTATAGGCATTAGCCACCCCCCCACCCCAAAACTTGAAAAGCATATATTGTTTAACACAGAAACATGCTCAAGGAAAATAACTGGACAAGCATGCAAGTATGGACACATGAAATAAAGTACACATACACATAAATATACAAGAATGCCCTCCACGACATGAGTGCAATTGTGGAAAATGGGAACAACCAACATGTTTATAAAAGTAGATGGTGCTTACATTATGGCGCATCTTTACACGGTCCTCAGTGGAGTACCTTAACCACATAAATGCTGGAAGGTTCATACTTCCTTTTTTTTTTTGAGACAGAGTCTTGCTCTGTCACACAGGCTGGAACGCAGTGGTGCAATCTTGGCTTACTGCAACCTCTGCCTCCTGGGCTCAAGCAATCCTCTCACCTCAGCCTCCCAAGTAGTTGAGACTACAGACACATATATGCCACCAAGCCCAGCTAACCATATACACTGTATAATTTCATTTACATGACGCTTAAAAATAAAAGTGGACTTCGTAGCTATTCTTAAGTGCAGGGACTGCAGGGAGGGGCCTTTTGGTGCGCACTAAATTTTCTTTCTCAGTCTGGCACTGGGAACTGTGGACACATGTATGTACCAACTCATCAGGCTGCAGCTGCTGATCTGCCCATGGCATTGTCAGTAGGCTTGGACCCCAGCTGAAGCAAAAGCTTATTCCTCAGTGGGCTGTAGGACCTCCTGTCCATGCAAAGGAGGCCACTACTGGCTGAACCAGAACGGGTAACTAACTGCTCCTCCTCATGAAAGCTTCAAAGGGGCTACTCTCACATTGTATGCAAACATCCAAACTAGCTGGTGACTCCCACCCTCGCCACAAGACACTCATTCAAGCCCAGATGTAGGAAGTTGGGTTCTGGATCTGACTTACTGGCTGACACTGAGAAATTATTTCCTCATACTGGGGAATGGCTTTCTTATCTGAAAACAAGGGCAGGATTAACTGATTTACTTGTGATTCTCTGGTGAATTTAATAAAATAACTAATAGTTTTTATTTAATTTAAGCACTTGCCCTGAAAGTGCTTTTTTTTCTTTGCCCCTCAAGGTATCTGTATGTACAAATAAAATAAAGCTTAACTCCCACATCCTGGAGGCAGGCGACATAAGTTGATGTGGAAACATTAAACTCAGCTCACAGCTCTTGGGTGGAAACAGACAGTAAACAGTTGCTGGGCGCTTATGATGCCTCAGGCCCTGTGTTCATTACTCAACACTGCCACGGTTAAGACTCATGCTATCCAAGTACTAAGCAGAAAGTTCACAAACTCTGGAGCATTGTCAAGATAGGGAAAATTGCAAGTACGTGCTCTATGCATGTCCCGTGGGAAGCATGTTCAAAACATGAAAACATGTTCTTTATTGACTTAAAAACCCCCCCACAAAACTCTCCCACTGTGTGTGTGTATGTATATGTGTGTGTGTGTGTGTGTGTAAGAGACAGGATCTCACTATGTTGCCCAGGCTGGACTTGAACTCTTGGGACTCAAGTGATCCTCCCACCTCAGCCTCATGAACTGTAGGCATGCACCACCACACCCAGATCTCCTAGTGCTTAAACTGGTCCTAAAGTGCCAATATATCAGGCCCAGTACACACATTTTTATTTATTTATTTTGTAGAGACAGCATCTTGCTATGTTGCCCAGGCTGGTCTTGAACTCCTCAAGTGATCCTTCTGCCTTGGTTTCTCAAAGTATTAGGATTATAGGCTTGAGCCACTGCGCCTGGCCCCAGTAGATATTTAAATGCCACAGCCCTCCAGGTTCTGAGTACTATGTCTCATTTCCCTCCTCAATTCTGGTAGCAGCAACAATAATGATCGTAATAATACTCACAAATACTAATACAGAGTGGCTACCAGGCCAGGCAACCTGAGAAACATTTTATATTCAAGAACTTGAATCCTATATTCCCCCATTTTATAGGTAAGGAAATTGAGGTACAGAAGAATTGAGTAACTTGCTCAAGAGTTCCTCTGCTAGCATGTGTCAGAACCAGGACTCAAACCAACGCGTGTGACTCCACACCTGGTTGTTAACAACCAAGCTCTCCCAAGGCAGGCTCTCCAGCCAACTGCAGGACCATAACCCAGGCAATCTAGACACCCATCCTGGGAAAGCCTTGTTTCTCCCTCTAAAGATACCATTGCAAATATCCAATAAAAGCCAAATGTAATTTTGCTTCTTTAACAGCCCTGCTGAGAAACTTTTTGCTAGCCCCTCTCCCACTGTCTACCCTATCAAGCCCACCCAAAGTCTTCTAGGTATTTGGGGCCTGTCACTATGCAAGCCCCATTGCCTTTCCAATTTCATTTCCAATCTCCTTCCTATCTGCACTCTAGGCCCCAGAAATGCCACATCACCCTCTTCCCAGCACATGTGGGTCACTCAGGCCTTTCTGCCTTTGCTGCTCTTCCTGCCTGTGATGCCTATTCCTGCCTCTGCCTACGAACTGCTCACCCTTCAGAACTCTTGCTCAGATGTCACCACTGCTGTAAAGTCTCCCTTGGCGGCTCTGAAAGGCAGTTACTTATGTCTTATTCTGTGGTCCCTAAGTACCTTGCATGTACCTTTATTAAAACATTTATTTGCAATACATTCCGGTTAGCTGTCTATGAACCTATCTACTTTGAAAAACTAAGTGCCTTGAGGGGAAGGCTACTGTTCACTTCTTACCTATTTTGCCTAGACAGTTTCGTGCCCTCAGTAAGTACTTAATGAATTCTTGTTAAATATATGAATGAATAATTAGATTCAAAAATAAATTATTGATTGTTTTCTCCTGTCTCTCCCAAATGTTTGTTCTGGAATATGGAAACACGATGGCAAGTTTAAAACAGATCTGGATGTGTGGCTTTAGGGACACATCTGTACAAATCTATAGCTCACAAATGGCAAAGAGATACAAACTTCATTCTTTCCTCCTCTGAACTGTTAATATCTCTAGATCTAGAGGCAGGCAGCAGGTTTCTCTGAGAACACATGCGACGTCAGCTCAATCCAGTGACACTGCTAGGACTCCCAGAGAGCCAGAGCTGAGGAAGGGAAGAGGTAGAACAAGAGAGGGTCTCGGCATCAGGCCAAGACAAAGCCCTACTTACCTCCTTCTTGGGAGTTCATGATGTTCAGGGCAAACAGCATTGCATTGGAGAATGTGGTCGCCTCTTCTTTACTTGCAAAGTTTAAGCCATAGACTTGGCGGGCATCTCGCCACTGGTGGAAGGTTGGCGTGGCCTGATTGTACTTCAGCCCTTTCACGATTGAATAATTGATCACGACCTGGAGGAGAAAGGAGAGAGAAATACGTGTAAATAAATAAAACGTAAGTGAGCTGGAGGGCGCTGTGATGGGGCAAGGATACTATATCCTTGAGAGGACAGGGAGATGGGGATGGGGTTTGAAGAAGGGAAAAGCAGTATCAGGCAGATTTTCAGATCATAATCTACAGAACAGTGAGGGTTTGCAAAACCTGTTCTTTCCTTTAACTAATGCCATGTAGTTCCAACCTCCAGATGAACAGCTGAGCTGGGAGTCAGGTCCCCTGGGTTCTGGCCTGGCCCTGCGTCTTAGCCACTCCACTCAAGGCAGTCACTGCACTTCGCTGGGGTTCAGTTTCTCCAATTATAAGATGGGGATAATAGTTCTGGCTTTATAAATATAATGGGGTTACTGTGAAGGTCACATTGTGATACGTATCTTACCTATATCTTATTTATAGCTTACCTTCTAGATATAAAGCTCCTAAGGGCAAGTCTTCTATAATTCATATTTATGCCTCCTATAGCCCTCTGCATAGTGTCTAGTACTTCAAATGCATTAATAAGCCGGTTATTTGTCCAAAGAATAACCTGGAAAGTTGACGTGCCACACATCTATACAGCATTATTCACATCTTTATTATCAATCAATCAAAAAGCATCAACTGGCTGCCAGGAGCAATGCCAGGACCAGGAGGGAAGGATACAGAGATGACAGAATCCAGACATTCAAGTGCCTACAAGCTGCCAGGGATTCAACACCAGGTCTGCCTGACTTCTAAAATTCTGCTCTTTCAGACATTTAAAAGAGGATTATTTTGGCCAGGCATGGTGGCTCACACCTGTAATCCCAGCACTTTGGGAGGTCGAGGCGGGAGGATCACCTGAGGTTGAGAGTTTGAGACCAGCCTGATCAACAAGTAGAAACCCCGTCTCTATTAAAACTACAAAATTAGCCGGGTGAGGTGATGCATGCCTGTAATCCCAGCTACTTGGGAGACTGAGGCAGGAGAATTGCTTGAACCCAGGAGGTGGAGGTTGCAGTGAGCCAAGATTGTGTCATTGCACTCCAGCCTGAGCAACAAGAGCAAAACTCTGTCTCAAAAAAAAAAAAAGTATTATTTCAAAGTACTTTAAGACCATATTCATAAGTACTTTAAGACCATATTCTTAACCATATTTATCTTTTCCTGAAGGAAAAGATGCTGGGGCTGGAACCCTCATTCTGCTTCCCATGCCTTGTACCTCGAAGCCACATGATCTAACATCACAACACTTATGAATTATCAGTTTTCTTGTCTGTCAAATGGAGAAGAATGTGACACGACTATGGCATAGCACCCTCATCGTGTGTTGCGAGGATTAAATTATATATGAGAAAGTAACTAACACAGCTCCTGGCACAAGGTAGGCTGCCAATGACTGAATGGAGAGGTATGAAGACCTCTACAAATGGAAGTACAGGTATCGATCGACTTACAATCAATGCAACTTACGACCATTCGACTTTACGACCACAATTGCTAGCCACGACTGCTCCGCGTCTGGCAGCGCAAACATTGCCCAGCTGGGCATACGACAGTGCAGACCAGCTTCTGGCAGCACTACCATCTCCGTGTGCACCATTTCAACCGTACATATAGCCTACTCAACTTATGACCAAATCGTGTTACGACCGTTCCGCGGTCCCGACCATGGTCGTAAGTCAAGCACTAGCTGTATGCAAGCAGAGTCTGGATAAGGCCAGAGGCCCAGCTCTTAGAGACGCCATAGAAAGGATTTTGCTTTAGAAGTACAAGATGATTTCTAGATTTCATCTGGTTTTGAGGCTGCAGGACTGACTGTGATCTGAGGTTGGGACTAACTCTCTCTATGCTGATTTATTACTTTCTTCTACTGCTCCACACTGCTGTGCTTGCTGGATAAGGTAAAACCAGAGGACAACAAACACGGGTGCCATCCAGAAAAGCTGTTTTCCAAGTCTTAGGTGAAGGTGGGCTTGGGTCTTCCTAAGACAGGCAGAGGCAGGGAAAGGGGAGACATACACATATAGTACACTAAATTAGCTAAAGAAACATAATTGAGGCTGGGCACCATGGCTCATACCTATAATCCCAGCACTTTGGGAGGCCGAGGTGGGAGGATCACCTGAGGTCAGAAGTTTAAGATTAGCCTGGCCAACATGAGGAAACCCTGTCTCTGTTAAAAATACAAAAATTAGCCGGGAATGGTGGTGGATGCCTGTAGTCCCAGCTACTTGGGAGGCTGAGGCACGAGAATCACTTGACCCCAGGAGGAGGAGGTTGCAGTGAGTCCAGATTACACCACTGTACTCCAGTCTGAGTAACAGAGCCAGACTCTCTGTCTCAAAAAAAAAGAAATGTAATGGTTTCACAACCTAATTGTTACATATTGACAGGCATGTATTTTGGCCAAAATCTATACACAAGTTCCTGGGTGGTTCTCTGTTTTTTTGCTCTTTGTGCTTGGAGTACAGATTCATGTGCACATACAGCTAAACCAAAAGAACTGGCCTGGGGATGACTAGGTTTAGTTATACAACATCAGCAAAAGGACTAATAAGAACTAGCAAAGTTGACCAATGTTAAAACAGCTCTTAAGATTAGAGGACACATTTATAGTGGAACAGTGACCAGAATGAGAGAAGAGAAAAAAAGCTGCTTCATTCTGCCCTGTTAAGTCCCTATCAGAAGTTCTATGTTCAAGTTTTTTTGTTTTCATTTTTGGTGTTACATTTCTAGTGGACATTAACGAACTGAAGCAAGAGGAAAATGCTTTAAATTGAAGGCCTCAAAACCACCTTCTATCAGGAATGGTTAAGAGATACTGAAGCAAGATAAAAGATGCTTTAGTATCTCAGGACTACTGTCTCCAGATGCTTGAGGGGATGTTCCAGGCAAATGAAATTTAGAACACTTGGCCAGACGTGGTGGTTCAGCCTGTAATCCCAGCACTTTGTGAGGCCGAGGTGGGCGGATCACAAGGTCAGGAGATCGAGACCATGCTGGCCAACATGGTGAAAGCCCATCTCTACTAAAAATACAAAAATTAGCTGGGCGTGGTGGCACATGCCTGTAATCCTAGCCACTGGGGAGGCTGAGGCAGGAGAATCACTTGAACTAGGGAGTTGGCGGTTGCACTGAGCTGAGAATGTGCCACTGCACTCCAGCCTAGATGACACAGTGAGACTCCATTTCAAAAAAAAAAAAAAAAAAAAAAAGAAAAAAGAAATTTAGAACCCTATGATTTGATTTTTAATTAAAAAAATTTTTAGTATGGTTTTTAAATACAGAGTCTTGCTCTGTCGCCCAGGCTGGAGTGCAGTGGCGTGATCTCGGCTCACTGTGGCCTCCGCCTCCTGGGTTCAAGTGATATTCCTGTCTCAGCCTCCTGAGTAGCTGAGACTACAGGTGCATGCCTCCATGTCCCAGCTAATTTTTTTTCTTTGTCTGTTTGCTTTTATTAGAGTCAGGATTTCACCATGTTGGCCAGGCTGGTCTCGAACTCCTGACTTCAAGTGATCCTCCTGTCTTGGCCTCCCAAAGTGCTGGGATTACAGGCATGAGTCACCATGCCTGGCCTAGAACCCTATGATTTGAGATCTCTGGTTGGCTGCATTCTGAGAGAGAAACTTAAGGTGAGTGACAATTTTTTTTTTTCTAAACCTCAAAGTAGCTCTTGCGGGGAAATGAGAATTGGGGGGTGGCTGATACCTAATCCAGAATACAAAGAGTATGGCCAGCAGATAATCACTGAAGGGGCTCAACAGGACCTTAGGGACTATCCAACTCAATCTGCTCTTTTCATAGTCAGGAAATGAGATCCAGGGAGAATGAGTGACTTGTCCAAAGTTGCACAGTGAGCTAACAGGAGAATTGGATTTAGAAGCTGAAGACTTTGTGATTTTTTTTTTTGTGCCAGTATGGTAGTCCCCCCTTATCCATGTAGGACTGGTTCCAAGACCCCCAGTGACTGTCTGAAATGTGGGTAGTACAGAACCCTATATAGACTATGCTTTTTACTATATACACATACATACATACCTAATTTAACTCATAAATTAGCCATAGTCAGAGATTAACAACAACAATAATAAAATAGAACAATTATAATATTTGGAATGACACTTAATTTAAAATTTTTGACTTATTTATTTCTGGAATTTCCCATTTACTATTTTTGGCCTGCAGTGGATCTTGGGTATGTGAAACCTCAGAAAGTGAAGCCACAGCTAAGCGGGGAACTGTTGTATAATGGGCTGCAATCCTTCTTCCTATTCCCTCTCTGGTCCTAATACTAACCGTTGGAGCTTCATAAATTGCTTCCAACTGCAGGAAGTTTTAGGATACTGGACTGGGCGAGTGCAATGAAGCCTTTCTAGACAAATCCCTGTTCTGTAAGTTCTCTGGGCTCTGCCAAACATGGCTGGTCGCTGATTGAGGGCTCCTGGGCCTGCCAGTTCTGTTCTGTCCACAACAACACTACAAAGTCTGCTAACCAAGTGCTGCCGTTTGGTGTCTACTCACAGTGCAACGGTCTACGACTGCTTTGAAGACAATCATACATGAGCAGAGGGTTTTACATCAGAGGGCTCTGCATTAAAATCCTGGCTTTATTACTTTTCAGTTGTATAACCTTAGACAAGTTGCTCATATCAGTTTCCTCACATGTAAGATGAAGATAATATTATAAGTAATACTGAATATGCTTGTGAAGAGGTATTTCTACAGGATATATCCCTGCAAGCTGAATGACTAGACACGACCATTTAAAAATTTGTATTTATTATTTGAAAATTGACTTCTAAAACAGGGGAGTCCAATGCAATGTGTTTGAATGTATGTGCGGTGACACAAGGCCAATGTCACTTGACCATCTGCTGAGAGGTGTCCCGTGTTTATTAACTGCCAGACAGACCTGACCATCCAACAGCTAAAACCTCAGTACCTAATGGTTCCACCTCTTTGTTTACTCTGCTTAGAGTGAGTCAAAGGATCCACC